CTTGTAACCATCTCCATACTGAATTAAATTTGTGTATTTATTTATTTATTAGTTTTGTGACATCATCTTGAGCCATTCACAAGCATCTGATCAGAGCTGCAGGCAGACAGGTTCCTCCAGGTCTCCAGTTCACCACAATGGAGGCTGCAGTGCTGAACAGGACCAAGCTAAACATTGAACAGGCTTTTATGAGTTCAGGAGCTGCAGTGGTGCTGTGGAGCTCTTCATGGAGAACAATCTGCATCTTCAGAGACTGTGACTCTGCTGAAGATTCTCATCACATCTCAATTGATTTTGATCACCTCTATCAAAATATATTTTGTAATCGGTTTATTGCCCAGCCCTAGCTATCATCGTGTTTTGGTTATTTTACAAAAAAGATAAAAATGGTAGTTCAGAAATCACCTTCTGATTAGGGCTGGGCGATATGGCCCAAAAAAAAATTCTCAGATTTTTTTTAAATCCCAAATTCGATTTTTGATTTTAATCGATTTTGCTCCCCACTTAACAGAGTGCCTCTGTTTCGGGTGTTGAAACAGTTTTAATGTGCTCCTGCTTTTTGTATCAAGGGCCTTCAAACAGATTTTGCAGTGAGGTGTTCGTTGCTCCAAGTCTGAGGTTGCAAAACCCAACCAGTTCCAGAAAACTGAAGAAACAGGGCCTTTTTTGGGAAGTAGATCCTCTTTGCTAGCTGCTATATTGTCATGTTGTGTACCAAGCATCTTGAGGGACAGGTGGGCTGACCTCAAAACTAAAGAAGCCCCAAAGAGTACACTGGTGGGAAAAAATTCTTGATTTTCCCAAAATTAAATCTTTATAAATGGCAAATTCGAATTAATTGATTAAATCGATTTATTGCCCAGCCCTACTTCTGATATTCATATGCCTACTTTATTTTTATTATTTAGTTTGTTACTTATTTACTGAAGCTTGTCCTCTCCTGAATATGTATTATAAAAAATAATATGTATATAACCTCCTGAGACCCTGCATCTTAATGTGGTTTTAAACCAGTTGTCTTTATTTAGGGAATTAGGGTTATACAGTATTATTCTAACTCCTGGTTGCTCAAAAACAATGTTTTTGTGTTTATAAGATTCTATTAATTAATAATTAGGGAAAATTTAAAATGTGTATCAAGCAAAAACTTGGGACTGTCTGACCAACAGGGGTCACTGATTGTTTTTTTAAATATATATTTATATAGTATATAAATATATTTTTTTGGAGGTTATCGTCCCTCTTTCTTTCCTCTTGGTGGCGCTCCAGCATTTAAGTCACTACAAATACTGTTAATTGCAAATAGAAAAAAAAACCTATATGTAAATGAGACCCATGTTAACAACATACTGTAAGTCATCCTGAAGCCTCATTGCAAAAAATATAGATTTTTGATCTCGGTAAATAAAACAAAACATATTATTCCTGATCTAATCAATTTTTTTTAACTGACAACCTCCACAAATATTTTGMGACACTTTGAAATGCAGATGATTGCACCAACTGGTCACCAAYAGTCACAGCCCAGTGAGATACTGGCTTTAAAATTTGATCTCAGCAATGCTCCCAAATAAGTCARCAAACCTGAGAATCGTTTATAGAAAAAAAAAAACTTCTACAACGTACAGGAAATCTGTACAAAACACATTTCACCTGTTAATTTAACATCCTTTCACAGGTGAAAATGTGATTTCTCTACACATGAAGCCTGTGTGTTTATTCTGTAGAGGTTGTACAGTTAAGTGTCTATAAATAATGTAGAAATGATGATTTCATCACTTTAGTGCCTCAACTCTCAGATGGATTAATGTGTAATAGAAACCAGGACTGAATGTCAGCTCCTCCTTTTTTTTCTCCCTCCCTGGAGAAATCTCCAATTCTGCTTCACATCTTTCAGTGCAAACATTATTTTATCACAGACAAAGACGGAGCTAAAAAGGACTCGGCTAAAACAGAACGAAGCACAGACAAAAAAAAAAGAGAGACAGGAAAGATAATCCAACCAAGATTATGGATGATGGATGGCTGATGCAATAGAGATCAGAGAGACAAAGAAGACAGAGACAGATTACCTGACGTGTGCGATGTGGCGTGCATGTAAAAGTGGAGCAGCGTTGCTCCACAGCAGGGGATGGAGCCGAGCTGTACACCGACTCGGGCTGAGAGAGCCGAGTGGAGAAAGGMAGGAGAGTCTGAAACAACTCATAATATGAAGAAAAGATACCTGAAACTAACGGACACTATCAAAACATTTATGTTATTGGGGAGATAGGTGAAATGAATTTTGTAACTTTTATCCTTTTTGGAAAGTTCAAACTTTATTTACTAATATTTTCCTGTAAAAATACAGCGAGTTTTCTTCAATTCCTTTAAAAAATTTATTTTCTTGAAAATCTGTTTCAATATATTTGCCTTTTCTTGTCTTCTTGCACTACTTTTAGCTTCTAGCTAGCCCTTTGCTACTTTTGTTTTAGCTAGGCTTTTGCTTCTTCTGATATTTACATAGTATCTTATCTACCTTTAGCTTACAGCTAACATTTAGCTCCTTTTGGCATTTACATCTAATTTTACATCTTTAAAAGGCACAGTGTGTAGGATTTGTTGTTTTCAGCGACATCTAGTTGTTGAGTGGTTGAATCATCCTCCCTGGTCCTCCCCCCAMCCCCACCCCCTGCTTCCAAATGCAAAGGAGTTGCTACGGTGTCTCTCAGGTGTCAAAAACCTTTGATAATTCCAACCGCGATGTCTACCAGCAGCTTCAGGGCTAGTGATGTTTCAAGTGGTAAGATTATGAGCTTTAATAAGTAAGATTATCCCAGCTACAATGACAGACAACAAATATTACATTTATAGTATTACAACTAAAACCGTTTTTGACACCGCCACCGCAGTTTGTCCTTCATGAGCCTTCATAGACAAGATGGAGGCTGCCTGTGTGGCGACCTGCGACCATGAAGATATAAACAGCTTTTTATAAGGTAAAAATAATAAAACAAGGTCTTTGTCTGCAATGATTAGACATGGTTTTTTTTATTATTGTCATTAGTGATATCTCAATTTTGGCTAAAAGAATTGACAAAATCCTTCACACTGTGCCTTTAAAAAGCCCTATCACACTGTAACACTTTAGATAGCGTATGCTAACTCATGAAAAGTTTATCCAACACTAAAAATGTCTAAGCTGAAAATTAAATTAAAACAAAAACTCTACTGAAGCCTCTTTAGTGTATACATACTGTAATGCTAACAATTAGATTGAATATGTAGTTAATGAATAAAATAATGGTAACAAAATGTTCACAAGTTGGCATAAGTTATCTACGACATTACAGTGTGACAGGGTTTTTAGCTTTTAGCTAGTGTTCTGCTTCTTTTAGCTTGAACAACTCGATTTCAGCTTCTTCAACTCAACATTCACACTGCATTTTTTGCAGAAAAACAAAGACAATTTCTTTAATTCAAACCAGTAAAAATGTTACCCAGCTTCAACATACTGAAGCTTCTGCTAACAGGATGTTATGTTTGGCCCAATTAGCTTCCTGACTTCACCAAAACCTCTTCCTTTATGTTAACTTAAATTATGAGTTGCTTCACGCTTAACAAGAAACAAGTGTTGGAAAGAGAAAGACGATGGAATATGTCCAAATTACCAGCAAACAAAAAAAAGGTGATGTAACAAACAGAGATGTTAACAGTGAAGCAGGCCAGCAGCAGACCCCAGCAGGAAACTACTTAGTCCTGCTTTGGAGGCCTAAGGGCACTTTCAAAACTACAAACCATGTTGTTGACGTGGTAATTTTCAATAAGTGGCTCTCTGAAAAGGTTAAACTTGCCGAGTTAGTTAATATGCCGAGCAGGGTTTGTTGCTGCTCCCATAAAAGCTTTGAGAATGACTTTCATCGCTCTAAGAATCCCAATACAACAGGGGCTGAACAGTTTTTCGTACAGTTTGGCTTTGAAAGTGCCCCTAAATGGCCCGTGCAGACATAATAAACTTATGTGTGGGGTGAAAAATGAAAGGAAATGGTGACCTTTACATTACAAGGAAGTTAATAGTGGTTGGTTTGGCTCTATTACAGACTTACCCTGGGTTTGTGGATAATACTCTGGACCAGGAAGGAAACAGGGTTGCCTGCTCTCCGTATGGCTTCCACAGCCTCTTCATGACTCGCATCCCTCAGGTCTACTCCGTCAACCTGAAAACGATGGAACAGAGTAAAGACTCAAGCGGTCAGTCATTTTTTAAATAGTGTAAAAGCAGAAAACGATACAAAAGTTAAATGACTACTTATTTTACCTCCACAATCCTGTCCCCTGTCTTCAGGGTCCCGTTCTGTCCCGCAGGACTGTCCTCCAGGATGTGTTTGATAAAAATGCCCCTCATCACTTCTCCGTTGCTCAGACGGCTGCCCATCCCTCGGCCTCCGACGATGCTGATCCCCAGAGATTTGCCCGGCTCTCTGAAAAGCTCCACCCTGAGGGAACGCGCCAATCTTAGCTTCTATAKTTTTTTATTTTCTCCAAGTGATCCATTTCAAATCCGCAGCATTTGTGCTGCTTAAACAATTACGTTAAAGTCTCGGACGGATCGACTCACTTTCTGGGTTGGTTCCAGCTGCTGTACGAAGCGCTCTCCTCTCCCTCTCCATCTTCACGCTCAGGGAGGTGGGGAGTATCTCTGAAAAACGTTAATAGTGAAAGGAAATAGTCAAACTGTTTTGAATATTTAGGCTCATTAAAGCTCTGGTGACGTAGAATAAACTGCCGCTATCCGGCGGATACAACGCTGTTTTTAACCTTGAGTTTTTACACACACAAAGAAGTACACGAGATGATTAATTTTTCAATGTCAAGTTATTTTTAAATTCTTTAAAAACTTCAGAATAACAATTTTAAATGATTTATCACATGTTCTGGCAACAAACTACTGTAGTTTTGTTTTATGAGATTATCGGTTTCTAAACAAGGTTTTTTAGGCTGGAACAGTGGTGTCCGATCCGGACCACCATCCTGCATGATTTAGTCTTTTCCCTGCTCTTCAAGTCTTCAAGTTCTACAGAAGCCTATTAAATTCTCCTGCACTCAAAATCATATGTGTGGAAGCAGAGGAACACTGAAAACAAGAAGGACAGTGTCCCTCAAAGACCATAATTGGGGCATCACTGAACTACAACCATGTCACRATGTATTTTAGTCCCATGACGAAGAAATTTCCAACCTTCACAACGACACCAACCATTATGTGGTATTTCCCTTTTCTGAAGACATACCTTTTAAAAAACTGGGATTGCTATATGAAGTCTTCATTGACTTGTATTTACGTAAATCTCAATCATGGTAAAAAGCCAACATTTTCACTTTTTCGCACTGTAGCCTGTGATCATTCCTGACTCATTTCGTTCCAGACAGCTAAACGCTGCCTTGCTGATGCTGACAGATAGCAGAGAGGATGTGTCGATCAATAAAAAGCTCAGGTTGCTCTGATTGGTCAAAACCACAAAAAAAAAAAAAAACACATGGTCCTGGCCTCTTTTCATTGTTGATTGGCAGAAACCGCCTTTAGCCTTTCAGCAAAGGCGTTAATTACAACAATAAGAGTGTTTCAGGGTGTTGTAAAGTCTTACTTTGGTGCTGCGAAGACGTTGTCTTTAGTTTGCTCCAAGCTGGCCTTGTATTCCTCCAGGTACTCAGCAGGGACATAAGTAATGCTGAACCCGCAAAGGCAAAAACATGACTGAATCAACACATTTTTTTTATTTCACACACCACGATCCATGTTTAGAAACTCATTTCCCTACCTGGGTAGCATTCGTGGCCCTATTCATTACAAACTCAAGGAGCAATTTACTAAAAATAGAGAAACTCATTTAAGCTATTGTGCTTTATTTAAAATAAACAGCTTGGTGTAAGTATCTCATTTGCACTCTGAAGCTTTGTGTTTTTTTTTTTAGCTCCGTTTAATTAAACTTTATGCACAACCTGAGCTCAAAACCAAACGTAGTTCCCCTTCCAGCAAATGTATTCTCCTTTCGACAAGCTCAAGGTGAGGTGTTGATGAATTATATATGTCTGACTGTTCCAAACAGGTGTTTACCGTCGTACATGTCTGAGCAAATCAAGCCTTCAGCCGTCTTACCGTGTGACAAACACGGGACACATCTGAAGGATCTGTTTAATCTATTATTAATGGAGAGAGAGCAGACCGCTAATTCGTTTTAAGGGACTTGCCAAAGGGACGGGTGACAAACTGTCATCCGCTCGCAAATCCATCTCGAAACAATTCAGAGTGAAGCTGGATCTCAAGGGTGCATTAACACATCAGAGGGAAGCTGATAGATCTTCAGCAGATGGCTTGATTTTTTTTTTATTTAATTTTTTTAAACATGACAGCATGCAGACAGAAATGCATCGCAGTGAAATGATAAAATAAAGGAGAGCTTGTTCAATAAACGCTCAACAACAAGCAGTGAGRAAAATAAAATCCAAATATAAATRAAGGTAGCATGCTTTRAAGGAATGCATATCGCCCGCTGCCTAGCACTAGAGGTTGTAGCAATTTTTGTCTTTGCTAGGTTCAGTTAGCTATGGTGGCCATGACTGTTGA